TTTAAATTTTCAGCACAAAGACACTGTAAGTCATTTGCCATATTTTTAGTTGGGCATAATATGTATGTTTAGTCCTACTAGGAATAAATATTTTCTAATCTTTTGTCTTTAATGTCTTATGTTTTTGATTTCTTATTCTATTGGCTAATACTCCCAGAATGATGTTTAGAAGCTGAATAGAAAGGCGATAGTGAGCCGGGCGTGGAGGCTCAAGCCTGTAATCCCAGCACTTTGGGAGGCTGAGATGGGCGGATCACAAGGTCAGGAGATCGAGACCATCCTTGCTAACACCGTGAAACCCCGTCTCTACTAAAAAATACAAAAAACTAGCCGGGCGAGGTGGCGGGCGTCTGTAGTCCCAGCTACTCGGGAGGCTGAGGCAGGAGAATGGTGTAAACCCAGGAGGTGGAGCTTGCAGTGAGCTGAGATCTGGCCACTGCACTCCAGCCTAGGCGACAGAGCGAGACTCCTTCTCAAAAAAAAAAAAAAAAAAAAAAAGGCGATAGTGAGAACCCTTTTCCTATTCCTGATTTTGAAAGAATTGTTGCTGGCGCCATGGTTCATGCCTGTAGTCCCAGCACTTTGGGAGGCTGAGATGGGAGAATCTCTTGAGCCCAGGAGTTTGAGGGGATCAGCCTGGGCAACATAGTGAGACCCCATTTCTTTCTTTCTTTTTTTTTTGAGACAGAGTCTCACTCTGTTTCCCAGGCTGGAGTGGTGCAGTGGCGCGATCTCAGCTCACTGCAAGCTTCGCCTCCCGGGTTCATGCCATTCTCCTGCCTCAGCCTCCCAAGTAGCTGGGACTACAGGTGCCCATCACCATGCCTGGCTAATTTTTTGTGTTTTTAGTAGAAACAGGGTTTCACCATGTTAGCCAGTATGGTCTCGATCTCCTGACCTCGTGATCCACCCGCCTCTGCCTCCCAAAGTGCTGGGATTACAGGTGTGAGCCATCATGCCCAGCTGAGATCCCATTTCTTTAAAAAAAAAAAAAAAAAGAAAAGAAAAAAAAGAGAAATAGCCAGGCGTAGTGGCATGCACCTGTAGTTCTAGCTGCTTGGGAGGCTGAGGCGGGATAATTGCAGGAGATTAAGGCACCCACAAAGATGCACTTAAACCAGTTGTTTCTGCTGAGAGCAGCTGGGATTTGTCACTAGATTTGCCAGGTATAGAGAGAAACTGGGCAGCTGCCATCAATGCTTTTAGTCCTTTTTTGGTCGGCTGCTGCTTGATACTATGTAGGAAAGATTGTTAAAGCCCAGTGCACTGTTTCCCTCTGGTCACTCCTCTGCTATCAATCTGTTGTCTTTTGTGTAATAGAAAGCTTAAAGTTCATCCAAGTCGAGACCAGTACTCCCATAGGAATATAATGCATGCCACAAATGTGAGCCACTTAAATAATTTTAAATTTTCTAGAAGCTGCATTAAAAAGTAAAGAGAAACAAATGTGAGCCACGTAAATAATTTTAAATTTTCTAGAAGCTATGTAAATAATTTTAAATTTTCTAGAAGCTACACTAAAAAGTAAGGAGAAACAAATGTGAGCCACTTAAATAATTTTAACTTTTCTAGAAGCTACATTAGAAAGGAGAAACAGATGAAATAATTTTTTAAAACACTACATCCAAAATACTATTATTTCAACATATAATCAATAAAAAATAGTACTGAGGCCAGCACGGTGGCTCACACCTATAATCCCAGCACAGGCCAAGGCAGGGAGGATCGCTTGAGCCCAGGAGTTTGAGACCAGCCTGGACAACATGGTGAAACCCCATCTCTACAAAAAATACAAAAAAAATTAGTGGGGCGTGTTGGCACATGCCTGTTAGTCCCAGCTACTCAGGAGGCTGAGGTGGGATAATGACTGAACCAGGGAAGTCGAGGTTGTAGTGAGCTGTGATTGTGCCACTGCACTCCAGCCTGGGTGACAGAGCAAGACCCTGTTTCAAAAAAAAAAAAAAAAAAGATACACTTAAAATTTAATCCCATATGAAGTCTTCAAAATCAGGTGGATATATCATGCTTACAACACATGTGATTTATGGCTACTGCATAGCAGGGGTTATCACTGTTAGTTCAACTTTTCTTTGGCAGTCCAGTCCCTGTGCCCCACACTACACTGCTGCACTGTTGTTGTATATGTGTGTGTGATTGCATTTAGACAACTGTAATAGGTTGAATTTGGTTATTTAATCTCTATCCAAAATCACATCACAGTGATGCCTTGATTATAGAAAGATCTTTCCTTGCAGCATATCTCCCTAGTCTCATATTAGTTATCTGACACCCTCAGTGTATATAAGTGAATATTTTGAGGGAAGAATAGAAAAGATACAATTTTATTTTTATATATATTATAATATTATATATTTTTTTTCTTTTTTTTTTTTTGGAGACAAGTGCTGCTCTGGTCGCCCAGGCTGGAGTGCCAGTGACATGATCTCGGCTCACTGAAACCTCCGCTCCCGGTTCAGTGATTCTCCTGCCTCAGCCTCCTAAGTAGCTGGGATTACCAGTCATGCCCCACCACCACCCTGGCTAATTTTTGTTTAATGATATTATTGTTTTAATGGGAATAATAATTTCACTTTCTTCTTACCAGATCTTATTTCTGGGTTGTTTGTTTTTATGGGTTTTTTGTTTGAATCTCCCTTTTACATTAAACAGAAATTAACGTTTTTATGGGAATTTTTTTTTTTTTTTTTGAGATGGAGTCTCGCTCTGTCGCCCAGGCTGTCTCAGCTCACTGCAAGCTCCGCCTCCCGGGCTTATGCCATTCTCCTGCCTCAGCCTCCTGAGTAGCTGGGTACGTAGGCGCCCGCCACCTCGCGCCGGCTAGTTTTTTGTATTTTTTTAGTGGAGACGGGGTTTCACTGTGTTAGCCAGGATAGGTTCGATCTCCTGACCTTGTGATCCGCCCGTCTCGGCCTCCCAAAGTGCTGGGATTACAGGCTTGAGCCACCGCACCCGGCTATGGGAAATTTCAATATGCTATTAGAAAAGCATAGTGAACCCCCCGGCACCATCAGCCATCAGTGATATTCTGTGTATAACAATTCATGGACAGTTTTGTTTCATCTATACCAACACCTATTGCTTATCCTCCTTCTGTGTCCCCCAGTTACTTTAGATTAAATCTTATACATTATCACTTCATCTGTATCAGAATGTTTTTCTTTTTTATTAAGAAAATTATTTTTGAGATAGGGCCTTGCTGTAGTGCCCAGGCTGGAGTGCAGTGGCATGATATGGCTCCCTGCAGCCTCGAACTCCTGGGCTCAAGTGATCCTCCCACCTTAGCGTCCTAAGTAACTGGGACTACAGGTGTGTGCCACCACAACTGGTAACAGAATGGTTTTAAAAACTACATTATCACACTTAAAAAAAATTATCTTATTTAAAATAACTACCATTCAGATTTCCCCAGTTATTTCATAAATGATTTTTTTTTTTTTTTTTTTGAGACAAGAGTTGCACTCTTGTTGCCCCCAGGTTGGAGTTCAATGGCCCGATCTCAGCACACTGCAACATCTGCCTCCCGGGTTCAAGCAATTCTTCTGCCTCAGTCTCCCAAGTAGCTGGGATTATAGGCACCCATCACCACGCCCTTTTTTGTATTTTTAGTAGAGACAGGATTTCACCATGTTGACCAGGTTGGTCTCAAACTCCTGACCTCAGGTGATCTACTCGCCTCGGCCTCCCAAAATGCTGGGATTACAGGCATGAGCCACTGTGCCCGGCCTTCATAAATGATTTTTATGGTTCAAATCAGGATCCATGTAAAGTCCATATATGTGTCTTTTTTTAATCTATAGATTTCCCTTCCATCTTAACCCCCTCTCCTCTGCAATTTATTTGTGGAAGAAACTGAGTTATTGAGTCATTTGTCATCTAGAATGATGTACAGTTTAGATTTTGCTGACTGCATTCCATGGTGTGGCCAAACTGTTCCTCTGTCTGGTGTGTTTCTCATAAATGTATAATTAGATGGAAAGGTTTGATCAGATTTAAATTAGTTTTTTTTTTTTCTACAGGGATATTTGAGAGGTAGTGGTATGCATTTCCATCAGGAAGCGCATAATGTCTTCTTGGCTCTCTTTGTGATGTTAGTAGCCATCAATTTCAGTGCCTAGATACATTAATTAGATTTCTGTATCTCCTACTATCTCAGAATTTTCCATCTTCTGTCTGTGCTACATTCTGAGTCCTTTCTTCAGTTATAAATTCTAGTTCATTGTATAATTCTTGTTAATCTGTTGACTTTCTAAAATTCGCTTTTCATATCTAAAAAATTTCCTTTTTTCAAGTCTGTTCATTCCTAATAGTTCTTACTAATTGGTCATTTTTACATCCTTAACTTTTTCTTTTCTTTTCTTTTTTTTTGAGACAGAGTCTTGCTCTTTCATCCAGGCTGGAGTGCAGTGGCGCGATCTCAGCTTACTGCAACCTCCGCCTCCCGAGTTCAAGCGGTTCTCCTGCCTCAGTCTCCCGAATAGCTGGGATTATAGGCATCCACCACCATGCCCAGCTAATTTTTGTATTTTTAGTAGAGACGGGGTTTCATCATGTTGGCCAGGCTAGTCTTGAACTCCTGACCTCAGGTGATCTGCCCGCCTCAGCCTCCCAAAGTGCTGGGATTACAGGTGTGAGCCACCGTGCCTGGCCTATCCTTAACTTCTGACATTGCAAACAGTGCAACTGCTATCTGTATCTGATAGTTCTAAGGTCAGCAGCTATTGCTTATTGTGTCTGCTGACTCTCTTGGTAGCTGCCCTTCTTTTGTCTCTAGTTATCTTTGAGTTCATTGTTTGATCTTAACCAGGGGAATTGTATGGGCCAAAATTAGGATTGAGGATATTTTTCTCCATAGAGAATTTTCCTTAACTTCTGCAGCAGCTGAAAGATGCCATTCACACGGATCTACATTAGTCATGATGCCAGAATTGGGCAAATCTGCTGGCACCGGGACACCTGTGTATATGTGTTTGTCTTTCCAGGAATTCATTGAAGAGTTGCTGTCTCCCCCTTTTGGGGGTTTAGTGGCATTTGTGAAGGAGGCTGAGGCTTTGATTGAGCGTGGACAGGCTGAGCGACTTCGAGGGGAAGAAGGTATGAGGAAAATGCGGTAATGATGGGATCAGTGGTAAGGGAAGTGGAAAAGAAAAATGAAAGGATGCAGATTACATGGTGGGGGAATAGAGTATGAAAGACTGGATTGAGAGAATACCAGAAAAGAGGGTTTGATGGTAAGGATGGCTATACCTTGGGGAGAACTTAGTGGAGTTGAAGATTAGCCAGATCCGTCTCTGACACTCTCTTTCCTCCTGCTATTAGCCCGGGTAACTCAGCTGATCCGTGGCTTTGGTAGTTCCTGGAAATCCTCAGTGGAATCTCTGAGTCAGGATGTAATGCGGAGTTTCACCAACTTCAGAAATGGCACCAGTATCATTCAGGTGACCTGCAAGTCCCAGCCCCCACTCAGATACCCCATCATTTATTATTTTCTCCCATCATTTTTTTGGGCTCAGCATCATCTAAGTTACCCTTGGTCTTCAGTTACTAGCTGTGCCCAAAGTGCTGGATGAGCCCTAATCTGATTCTTTTTTTTTTTTGAGAGAGTCTAGCTATGTTGTCCAGGCTGGAGTGCAGTGGCACGATCTGGGCTCACCTCCACCTCCACCTCCACCTCCACCTCCACCTCCACCTCCCGGGTTCAAGTGATTTTCCTGCCTCAGCCTCCCAATTAGCTGGGATTACAGGCACCTGCCACCACACCCAACTAATTTTTGTATTTTTTAGTAGAGATGGGGTTTCACTGTGTTGGCCAGGCTGGTCTCGAATTCCTGACCTCGTGATCTGCCCGCCATGGCCTCCCACAGTGCTGGGATTACAAGTGTGAGCCACTGCGCCTGGCTGCCTAACCTGATTCTTAATCATCACTATTAACACCACTTTACAGTTTGATCCCTCAATGACTTTCTTTGACCAGGGAGCGCTGACCCAGCTGATCCAGGTCTATCATCGCTTCCACCGGGTGCTGTCCCAGCCGCAGCTCCGAGCCCTGCCTGCCCGGGCTGAGCTCATCAACATTCACCACCTTATGGTGGAGCTCAAGAAGCATAAGCCCAACTTCTGATGTGCCGGAAACCACCCTGAGATCTGCCAGTCATCTCCATGGACTTCTGCACCCCATTCCATACCCTTCTTCACCTGGGGGTCCCCCTTCCAGTTTTCCCCTTGCCTCCCAGGCCCTTGACATGGCTTACCTGCCTTCCCTCCCAGCACCTTGCCCAACAGGATAAGCTGGATCTCCTTGGCCGTCTGAATTTCCCAGTGTCTTCAGGTTTCCTAAGACCACTTCCCTGTGGGCTTCCAAAATGGCCTTTATCATTTCTCCAGTCTGTCACCCTCTTTTCCTGCTCCCGTACACCCAAGGCTTGTTTCTTCCCCTGTAAAAACCTTCACTGCATTAATCTCTGGTTCACTCAACTAGTCACCATGTCTGGAGGCATGAAGCCGCCTCAGCTCTTGGAATTGCTGGCAAGGGGTGACTGCCTCTGTCATTGTGTTTTTCAAAGTGATTTCTTTTCCGTAGTTTTTTGACCTAAGATCTCAGCAATTTGAACACTAACCCCTCCCCTCCTGGCTCAAAAATTAATCCCAAATCAGTATGCAGAAAATAAATATTTAATATGACATGACACTTCTCCCATTTCTTCTTCCTCCTGAAGGCCTTAAGGTGGCCCCATCTCTAGAGTGACCTTTCCTTTCTGACTGCTTCCTGGGCTTATATCCCTTATGGCAGGTGTAACCTCTAACCTCTAGCTACTTCCAGGCCAGAGGAGGAAGGTGGCCCCTGGCTAAAACAGATGCTGCAAGGGCTGAGAACCAGGCCGCGCAGCCCCAGACACTATCTCGAGGGCTCCCTTCGGACAAGCCCAAGCTGACTCTGGAATCCCTCCTCTGTAGCATCTCCGTAGCTCCTCTGGTTGTGGCTGTCACAGTCCCTTGCCTCGTGGGCTGCAGCAGCCAACCCACACCCACACCGTTGGGGCAGGGATAGACCGGGCGAAATTCATCCATGTCGTTTATTTGTTTGACTTGGAGACTTCCTGCTGCCCATGCCTATACGCTTCGTTTGACCTTAGGCTCTAGACTGGAGAGACACAGGGATCCCTTTAAGGCCTAAGAAGAGAGGTGCAGTTAAGGAAAAACGGTAATTTGGGGATATTTCCTGTCTCCTCCACCCCCACGGCCTAAACATTCCCTTCCCAGGTCCCTGGAGAATGGTGGAAAGAAAGCGGATTCTACTCCCCGCCTTAGGCCCTCCGGATGCGGGTCTAGACCGCTGGCGACGGGAGGTGTCTTGAGTGAGTCTGTGACTGCCGAGCACACCCGCCGCGGTGCGGAGGCTGCTGCGTGCTGAGGCTGAGAGCGGGTCCGGCTCCGGGTTCTCCTAATTGGCGGACGCGGGAGGCGGCGTGGTAAGGCAGAAAGGAGCGGGATCTCAGCTCTCGCCTTTTCAGGGTTCCGCCCCATATCTGAGAGCCGCTCTCTGATTGGCTTGGGAAACCGTATCTCAGCGTTTTGGCCTAGTGACTTTGAAAGTGTTTGCGCCTGAGACCGAAGTGCACAGGAGGGCGAGCACAGGGGGAGAGGATTGGAGAATCAGCGACTCCTGATTGGCCAGGCGTGTCTTGAGGGCGGGGCCAGAACTGCGTCCTTAAGTGACCTCGCACTTGCCCCGCTCACCCGCTCCGCGTTATTCAGGGTTTACACCGCCTGACTCACTGCGCTATGCGTTCCCTCACACCTGCTGGATGCCAGGCGGCGGTGTGCCAGGCTCTGAGGGGCCGCGAGCTCACCCCAGACGCCAGCCCCGGGAATCCTCTGCTCCTCCACTTTCCCTTCCCGCTGCTGCTTTCTTGCCCACCCACTCCCAGGTGTCACTCTTGGGGCATCCAGATGTTCTGGCATTTGACCTGACTCCAGCCTAAGCGCGAGGACGGGAGAAAGGCCAAGGGTATGAGATTTGGGACAGGAGAGGCATTTAGCTACTCTGACAAAGAGCGTGGGTTCCCAAAGAAAGGGTCCCCAGATACCCCGCAGGGGAGACTGTCGAGACAGACGGCTTTAGTCAACTAATGCTCGCATGCGGGGAGGGCTGTGCAGGCAGCCACCACGGTTCTTCGCAGCCTTCATTCTTTCCTTCCCCTGTCCGTCGCAGAACCCAAATCCTCAGAGCTGACCGAAAAGCGCGTGTTGTTGAAGTCGCCGAGGGGCAAACGCGGAATGTGAGCCGTGGGGCGAAGGGACAGCTCTGGAGGCTCGAGATTCCGGAACCCGGTGGGCATTCAAGTGATACTGGAGCACGCAGTTTTCAGGGACATTAAGCTCACCCCGGGGGTCCACTGGAACCTTCTGACCCAACGGTCTCTCTGGACAGGGTGATCCAGAACAGACGATGAAGAGACAGACTAGCGTGAAAGGGAGCAGCGATGCCTACACTGACCTCCGGAGGGCAGCATGATCAAGGGAAGGAGCTGTTCACGCTCCGCTCAAACCCCCGCGCAGCCTCTGCGGCTTACTCCCGCTTCCCTAGGCGGCGAGGTTCCACCCCCACCACCGCCGGCCCCCGCTGCCCTCTTCGCGCTGAAGCTGCGGAGGGTCTTTTTCTTCAGCCCAAAATCCTCTGCTCTGTGGTTTAAGATTCCCAGGCTTAAACTCGTAGCTGCTGGAGTCATCACTCCTCAAACTTCTCCCACACTTGTTTTGCTGATGACGGACACAGGGGCCTCACAGACTCAGAAGCATCTGCAATCATTCCGAAGGACAGAACTGTGTCATTATCCTCTTTCCCCCTGCTAATCTCTGAGAATAGTGTCTGTATATGGCACAGGGGTCCCTAGTGTCATATAGAAGGACTTGGAGATGTCCTCATGGGCTGTAGCGGCCCCCAGTGCTATTCAGGGATCTCTGTCCTTTAAAGAAATATCATTTCCCTTTATTTCTCTACCTTTGTGCCCTCACCTCGCCCGGAATTGTTTCCTTAAACTGGGCTTTCTGGGAAACGTTTACTTCGTGTTCAACAGCAAAGTCTCGGCATAAGGCGAGGGCGGCAGGGGACGGTGGGGCGGGAGTTTGTTCGCTTTGGCATTAATTTCAGAGCTGCTGAACGTGGACAAAAGAGAGAAGGAACATTCTCCTTTCTTCCATTCCTGTAAATATGGGCCCACCTACCCTCCACTTAAGAAGGTGGCTTTTCTGATTTTAAGATAACAGGCAGCCGGGCGAGGTGGCTGACACCTGGGATCCCAGAACTTTGGGAGGCCGAGGCAGGATGATCCCTTGAGGCCAGGAGTTCGAGACCAGCCTGGCCAGCATTGCAAAAACCCATCTCTACTAAAAATACAAAAATTAGCTGGGCGTGGTGGTGCCTGCCTATAATCCCAGCTACTAGGGTGGCTGAGTCAGGAGAATCGCTTGAACCCGGGAGGTGGAGGTTGTAATGAGCCGAGATGGCCACTGCACTCCAGCCTGGGTGACAGTGAGACTCTGTCTCAAAAAAATAAATAAAAATAAAAGTAAAATAAAATAAATAAATAATAATAAAAAGATATAAATTAACTGAGCTTTAAAATAAAGTAGTCAGAGGCCCAGGGTGGTGGCTTATGCCTGTAATCCCTTTGGAAGGCAGAGGCCAGAGGATCTTGAGTGCAGGAGTTTGAGACTAGCCCGGGCAACATAGGGAGACCCCATCTCTACAAAAAAAAAAAAAAAAAAAAAAAAAAAAAAGCTAAGCATGGTGGCCCATGCCTGTGGTCCCAACTACTTGTGAGGCTGAGGCAGGAGGATTGCTTGAGAAGAGGAGTTAGAGATTGCAGTGAGCTATGATTGCACTACTGCACTCCATCCTGGGTGACAGAGTGAGACCCTATCTCTTTAAAAAAAAAAATTTAAAAAGTAGTGTGAAGATTCAAGAAAAGAAAGAGAAAGCAAGCAAAACTTTAAGGAGAGGAGAATCGAAATTGGCTGTCTTCATCCTGGACATAATGAACACACCAATTCATGTTACATACTAGAGTTAACTAAGTGTTTTCAGAAGCAGTTGCCATTAAACCAACATAGTTATTGAAGCTCTGCTCTGTGTTCTGTGATAGGCACTGTGGATTCAGCAGAGACTAAATCAAAGTCCTTGATCTCAGAGGACATATTTCATCTAATTGAATTCACATATCAGCCTTATGAGGAGGTGTTCTTCCTGTTTCAGGTAATGAGCTTGAATTTCAAATAATGAGCTCAAAACCATATAGGCACTCAGTGGCTGAAACTTCTGTGCCCACATTCAGCTTTTGTTCTATGACTCCAGGCTGGGAGTCATGGAGCTGAGGAGGCAGCCGGTTGTAGAGAAGCAACAGATTAATAAGTAATAGTAAATTATTGAAAGGATATTTACAGAACTGAAGGAAAAGCTGAACAGGTGGTCTTTGGAAAGGACAGAAGCCAGGATAGTTCCAGCGTCCAGGCAGCAGACACCAATAGTCAATGCTTCTACTTTGGGTCAAGAGAGAGAACTCCAATAGGCTTAGGGTGGGTCAGGTGCTCACACTCCTCTAAGGAAGGGGAGGGTCCCTTGAAGAATAGTACCATAGACTACCCAATGTTGGAGGATAATGGCCCCAACGCAAAAATGGGATCCTGTTACCAGACGAATGGGATACAGATGCCAGGTAGCAAAATCCAACAAATGTACACGTGCCAAAATCCCAACTCCATCACTAAGAGCCACGCAATCCTCTGAATATCAATTAGATTAATTGACACTCTTTTTCCTCTTGCTACTGTGGTACATGCAGTAGTTACCTTTATTCTTCACTTTGTTTTCTCATAAGACTAACCAAGGAGTTTTTTAAAATAAAGAAATAAAAGCAAAATTGCTTATTGTCTTATTCTATTCATTGGCAAACTAGTAACATTAAATAAACTCCAGACAGAGCCGCTGGAGAAGAATCAAGTACAATTTAGTAGAAATAACACCGTATGTGTGAGGGTGAGTGTGTGTGTGTGTGATGGAAAAAACTTTGTCCTGCCCATACTGTAAGTCATGACCATGCCCCTCTCAGCAGAAGTTTATCTTTTTGGAAGAAGTTTGGAAGAAGTTTATCTCATTTGGAAGAAGTTTATAAGAACGTAGCTTAAAAAAAATCGTGTGATTTTGGAACAAGGTCAAGCCTTTGCTATTGCTTCCACATTTTATTTATTTGTTTACTTTTTAGTTTTTTGGGGGTTTTTCCTGGACATAATGAACACACCAATTCATGTTACATACTAGAGTTAACTAAGTGTTTTCAGAAGCAGTTGCCCCCCGGGGGTCCACTGGAACCTTCTGACCCAACGGTCTCTCTGGACAGGGTGATCCAGAACAGACGATGAAGAGACAGACTAGCGTGAAAGGGAGCAGCGATGCCTACACTGACCTCCGGAGGGCAGCATGATCAAGGGAAGGAGCTGTTCACGCTCCGCTCAAACCCCCGCGCAGCCTCTGCGGCTTACTCCCGCTTCCCTAGGCGGCGAGGTTCCACCCCCACCACCGCCGGCCCCCGCTGCCCTCTTCGCGCTGAAGCTGCGGAGGGTCTTTTTCTTCAGCCCAAAATCCTCTGCTCTGTGGTTTAAGATTCCCAGGCTTAAACTCGTAGCTGCTGGAGT